TGGGAGGAGTGGCCAGGCGGCAAGACGAGACGGTGGCGATTCAGTTTTAAGCCATCCGACGGGGATTGTTTGGCTTTGCAGGGGCAGGAGGCCTGTGTGGCTAACAAACATGCCCGGGGGATATGCAATGAATATCCACAGCTCCGGGCCGAAAGTGACCGGATGAAGTACGGAGCTGTCCAGGGAGGCGGTGCCCTGAGAAAGAGGCCATGGTCTCGGCCTCGTCTCCCCCCAGCAGGAGGAGTCAAGTCAAACGTGGCTTGTCCCAAGCATGAGGGTGGGTTGCAACCCTGCTCTGTGCCTCAGTTTCTCCCACCTGGAAAATGGGAGCATGTTGCTCCAGGCAGAGGGGGAAGCTGCTCCCAGGCCAGCGCGGGGGGTTCTGCGCTAAAGCAAAGTGAAAGCTGCTTTGGCTGGAGCAGCCCAGGTGGGGGGAGGGCTGCCCGGGGGGAGCAGAATCCATTAGGGTGGGTCTGGAAGATCCCCGGGACCGCCCGCTGGTTCGGGAAGGGCTTTGGGACATTGTGGTCACTTCATCCCAGCCAGCGCAGTGACGCACAAGCCGCCTTGGCTGCGATGCTGCGGCCCGTCCCTTGGCCCAGGAGCAGGGTGGGGCCGGGGAAGAATTCCTCAGGGGCAGGAAGCCAGGAGGATCCGACTCCAAGGGAGAATGCGCTGGGCTTGCTCCCGGTGCAGGGGTCAGGGATGGGGCTCGGGCACCGATCCAGCAAGTGTTCTAAAGTCACCCGCTTTAGTTTTCCAGGTGGGGAAACTAAGGCACAGAGCAGGGTAGCAACCCACCCTTGTGCTCGGGGCAAGCCACATTTGACTCCCCAGGCCTCTAGGGGAGAGGCAGCACGGGCTTTTACGCGGAGGCCCCGGCAAAGCAGCCTCTGAAGTGGGGCAGAAGCCCTGGCCCGCTGTGGGGCAGAGCCATGCAGAGCCGTAAGCTGCTCGGGTGCTGTGGGGGGAGGGGCGAACTGGGTGGGACTGAAATATTTCAACAGCGTCTGCTGTCCTGGGGCCGCCCACCATCCCGATTATTCCTGCTCCCCAAGCTGTCCCAGGGAACACGCCTCCGCCTGGTGCTGCAGAGCCGTCCGCCCAAGCCGATCCCGTGCCTAGCACAGGCTGGAGAGCTGCGGGGAAAATCCGGGTCGATTGCTTTTCTGCCTTAGGCCACCGGGTGGCGTTGTGGGGGCGAGGGGACATTTGCTGGAGGCCAAGGGAGCACGGGCAGGGTGGGTGCTTCCAGCCAAAACCCTTCAGTAAAGAAAGAGTTAACAGATTGACCCAAGGAGATTTTACCTCCTTAGCAGGAAGTGTGGCTTGGGGGGGGTCTGGCAGACTGCCCAGAGCAACATTGCACCAAATTCCACACCTTTCCACTAGAAACTCTGGAAATGATCAGAGAAGCCAGTGCCCAGCCCGCCCCTCACCATCTGGTCCCATCCCATCATTCATCCTCCTCCCATAACCTTAACTCTGCCCCCTGAAATGTGTGAGGGTAGAAATAAGCCATGCCTGGAAGGCCACTGAGACTCATGGACTCGCCCTGCAGATGATCGCCATGAGTCCGCTGACCCCGGCAAGGCCTGTAACGGTCCCCGCTGGCAAACGGGCAACGTGGGAGCGTTACTCGGGAACGTGGTTACACACGGGGCTTGTGCGGTCAGTGGCGCCACCGCGCTGCAGCCTGGGACACGGGCGACAGCTCGGATCGGCCGCCTGCCCCGTCCGACTCCGTCGCAAATGATTCTCACGCGTTTCGTAGGCCACGCGCAGCCTGCGGCCACGTGCGGTGGCCACTGAACAGAGCGGGGGGGGCAGGTTTCACCCCCTGGCAGCCTCTGGCGTCTGCCAGCCCCAACATGCTCGGTTTGAAGGGAGGGCTGGGTTAGGGATTTCCCAGATTCTTGTTGGCGAGATCTAAGGATTAAAACCATCTACGAGAGGGCCCTGCCCTGACACATCTGGATCTGGCCGTACAGTGGGGACTGTGCTGGGACACTTGACCTGCTGGGTGTCCCTCGTCATGCCTCAGTTTCCCTTCCCCGTCCTTTGCCTTGTCCCTTTCGCTTGCCGGCGCTTTCTCGGCCCAGCGCCCGCACGCCCCAGGTTGCCGTAGCGCCGGGATGCTCTGTTGATCGCAGCTTATGGGGGGAGGCTGCCGGCCACGGAGCGGAGGGGGACGGGTTCCTTCGCTGCTTGCTTTATGGCCCTGCGTCACGCGGGGTTTAAAGCGGCTTTAGTGGGAGGCTGGGGAACACCAGCTCCTTCCCAGC